ATGCTGACCTCGCGCAACCATGTCGTGATAGTTCCGAACCTGTAAACTAGTACCCAACTGCCATACCTTGTCGATGCCGAACCAACCCCGAATCTGAAACATGCCGAATGACGTACAATGTCGCAGCGCCGTGATAGTTCCGGACCTCCCCCAATCACATATCCAATCCGAACCGGCGGCCACACCGAATGAGTGAAGCCGAGCCTCACTACCGAGGTGACACGGGCAAACACCACGCCGTTCATCCAATTTGCACTCACTCATATCACACAGGTTATGTCGAGACTAGCAATAAGGCCAGTCAGGTAAGTCACGCAAGCGATCTCGATTATCGGGAATTAAATAACATCGTTGGAATTAGAGTAAATAAATAATCCGGGGTTAAAACCGTTCGGAATAATTTTGAATAAAATTTAATCAAGCATTTAATAATCACCGGTTTTCTTCCTTTTATTATTTTTAATCGTCATTCTTATTCCTGAATTCTATTACCGAAAATATTAAAAATAAAGACAATTTCATCAAAAACGAATTCCGATGGAATTCAATCAAATAACGAAAATTCTCATTTTTTTTTCCCTTTTATAGTTTTGATTATTTTTCTTTTATTTTTGATTTTGTTACCGGGAATAACAAATAATGAGGGCGATTCCATTAAAAATTAAATACCAAGGAAATTTAATAAAATAAAGAATATCTCGTTTTTCTCCTCCCTTCTACTGTTTTTAATTATTTTTCCTATTTTTTGTAATTTTATTATTAAAATTAATGATTTTCGAGGCTTCATTCCCGTGCTAGTTCTGCAGTGTAAAAGGACCACGCCAAGGCCTATTCTCAAATTCCCGGCCCGCGGCCAGTTGTTTCGGAAACAGGCTAGGAGCGACAAAAATAAGATAGACGCCGGCGCGGTAGAAGACGTAGTCCCTCTTGCCGGTTTTGAGAACTGGTCTCAGCGGTTGACACATCCAATTTTTAGGGGTGCTCTGGGTACCCCTAATTTTCCCCATCAGCACGAACGAAAGTCCCTGTTAATCCTCCTCTAAGCAATCAACCCAAGGGCCAATTCGCAAAAATTCGGGTGGCCGACTGACCTTCGGCCGCCCGACAAACAAGCCCGTACCTCCACTCGACGCCGCCGTCGAGCCCGCACCGCCATAATCAGACGAATCGTATGAGATTTAGTCTGACCACATGAGAGCGACTCTTATATCTGCGCTTATCTGTCTGACGCTTGGGTTTTTCTGGAACTCTATGACTGAGAGGGTGTTTCTTCCCTCTCTTATGTCGTCTCGTTTTAGGGATGCTTCTCAACTTCTTTCTTCGCTGGAGTGGTGGTGCGGCAGATGCTCCACCCCGTCTGATGCGGACTCTGCGCTTGGGCCTCCGCAATACTAAGTGTCATTTCTTTTTCTTAACTAGCGTCAAGCCCTTCACTTTACGGGTCTCCACTCTCTTCCTCTTCTTCGAACTTTCACCTTCTTCGAACCGTCTCGACGGTCCCTCATCCGTCACCTTCGCTTTCCCCTTTCCTTTAGGATCTGACAGTCTCAGGGCAGAAGTGGGAGTTTCCCTTAGCCTAAACAACTTCAATCTAGCGCCTGCCACAGGATCCTTCCACTTAGAGCCATCTAATTCAGCAATCATATATGCTCCCCAACTGAGCTTACCAACTACGCAGTAGAGACCCATCCATTTATTAGCCAGTTTTCCTGACCACGTCCTTTCTAACGCTGCGTCGTAGTGAAGTACCCTATCACCTACAATTATCTACTCCTTTCTAACCCTGACGTCCTTATCCCATCTTTCCTTGCCTTTTTCCCTCTCCACCGCCAATCGAGCGGCCACACTAATGAGATTGTCCTCTAACCTGTATGCTATCGATCTAGTCCTTGTTGCCAGAAACTCTTCTCGTGACATGTTATCCGCCTAGTCAACTGTAGTCCAACTATCAACATGAAACTCTATGGGCAGAGGACAGTGTTTCCAGAAGCATAGAGTGTAAGGCGGGTATCCTGTGCTAGCTCGAACTGTGACATTATATGTCCATATCGCATACCGGAAGTACTTTGGCCAGTCACTATCTTTACCTGTACACCACTTCGACAGTGATGCTATCAAAGATTGATAGCCTCGTTCTACAGGAGCGTTGGATTGAGGATGATAGGCAGTAGCTATTGATACTCTAACTCCCGCTTTCCTTAACACGTTCTGTACTTCGTCCGCTAGGAATTCCGCTCCTCTGTCCATCACAATTCTACTGACACATCTGTATCTAGACAAGTATTCCAGAACAACGTTCTTTACTTGTTTAGCTGCTTTAGTTCTAATCGGTTTTCCATCAACAAACCCTGTGAAGTCATCTCTGATATTCACGACATAATTCATGTTGCCTACCCCTTTCGGCATCTTCACCAGATCAATATGTACTTTCTCACCTGGTTTAGAAGGATAGGAAGGATGAAGCGGTTCCTTGTACCTTACAAAGGATCTTTTCTGACACTCCTCACAAGTCATACAATACTTCTCGACGTCTTTGTACTGTCCTTCCCACCAGTATAATCGGCGGAGATACGTCTCTTTTACTCCTCTATGTCCTCCAACCACACCATCATGAAGTTCCACTACTATCACTCGTTTCTCCTCCGGGTCACATATCACTCGTAGAGGCATTCCTAACCCTATAGGCTTGCGGAATAGATGTTCAGATCTTAGACAGTACTGAGCTGCCTATCTCCTAATCTCCGAGTCTGAACTCTCCTCTCCAGATAGATGCAACCGGATCGTCCGGTACTTACCTTCATAAAGGTTCACTAGAAAGCGATCAGTCCGTCTAGGCTCAACCATATGCAGTGCGGCTGTCACTATTGGTCGTTCCGCCTCGATCGGAATTCGCGAAAGTCCATCAGCTACCGCATTCTTTGTTTCCGAGATTCTTTCCACAGTATAATCGTAGAGTCGGATCCTGATCAGCCATCGAGCAATCGTGGGATCTGTCAGACTGAAGTCTTTCTATAAAACTGACGCCACTGCTGTAGGGTTCACTCGTAAGATAAATCGCCTCTCGTATATGTAGTGTCTAAAAGCGTCCAAGCACTGCACAAGAGCTAACACCTCCTTCTTAAATTGACTGTAGTTGCGTTCAGCGGTGTTGAGCGTACGACTCTCGAATGTCATCGGCGTTTCCTTACCGTCGGCGTCCTTTTGAGAAAGCAGCCCTCCAACTGAACACGGTCCAACATCGATAGACACTATGAAGGGTCTGTTGGTTTCGTTCTCGAAGAATGGTACTCCCAGGATTCGTCCCCCTTCTTTAAATTCTTCCTTGAGGGTTTGTACCGCAAGCTCCTGAGGAGAATCCCAGTAAAACCGCTCCGTTTTCCTAAGGAGAGTTTGCAAAGGTTCTGCCTTCTCGACATATCCACGTATGAAGATCCGCCAGTAGCCTACAACACATAGGAATTGGCGGACTTCGGTAGCGCTATGCAATGGAGTTGGCCAGTTCAAAAGCTTATCTAACTTCGTCGGGTCCGCTCAGCGACCTCTCGAATCACATATAAACCTCAAAATCTTAATTGTCGAGACTGATCACCGGCTCTTCGTCCCACTGACCGTCAGGTTAACCTCATCCAGCTATTCTAGGACCGCGTAGATGTCCGTTAGGTGCTGCTCTACGAATCTTCTGACACCAGGAGCAACCTCCGTCTCATCTTTCAATACGGACCCTTTAATTGGGAAGTCGTCCAAAAAGACTTCAATTTTGTCAGGAATGAAATCTTTCAGAACAGCTACCATAGCTCTCTAGAAGACCACAACTCCATTTGGTCCATCCCATGGGCACAACCATCATCTGCACTAATCCAAGTGGCGTGTGCATGACAATGAGATGCCTATCCCTAGGATCTAGGGGTATCTCATCATAACCCGAAAAAAAATCACAGACGGAGTAGATAGACCTACCTGCCGCTCCATCTAGCAATAGATCAGTGTGCGGTATGGATCCCACATCCCGTATAGTAACCGCGTTAACCTTATGAAGGTCCTGAATCCAGCGGATCTTGCCATTCGGCTTCCGTAAGAAGAACCATCGATTAGCGTACGCGCTATCAGACGGTTCCGCCACGTGCGACATCATCTTCTCCTTTAGAAAGACGATTACCTCTTTCTTCTCCTTCTGAGCAAACTTCCACCCTGCATTTCCATGGAGTATGTGGAATCGTGTAGATCCTAGCAGGTTTGGCATACCAAGGATCGATTCTTCCTCTTTCCGCATCACTAAAAGTTATGGCCTTATCGCAAGTCTTAAGGACTTCTAGCACACGCTCCTTCTCTTGTTCAGTCAAATTTTTATCTCCTATATCCATCTCCGCTATCCTTTCTTCTGTCAGCCGTTGCGGCTCCTTCTCCTTCCTCTCTTTAATCTTCCTAACGATCTCTTCCTCAGATACCCCATCTAGTGTGGATCGCTCCCGGGCTACAGCAGCCGGCTTAACTTTCTGAGCTACTGTCTTATGCTTCTTTGGTCACCCCCCATAGGGGGTTGCGCCCTTAAAAAAGACACAGAGTCATGCCTCTGAATTCCTCGTCTTCAACCTTTGGGTAGGAGTTTTCTCCCACAATAACGCGATTCCCTAAGTCATCGACTTCCACCATACGTCCCTCTTCTTCTGTGAGCAATGCCCCATACTTATTTTCGCGGAATCGCAAGGAACGACTCGCGAGTGTGACCGACTTGAGGCCACCAGCTGCTAGAGCCGCTCTGTTCCTCGGATCACACGGCTCGACTGCCTCTATCATAATCCGTCCACCATCCGGACGCTTAATAAAAAGCAGCTGGCTCCCGTCCAGTCGCTTTATAATCACCGCATGAACATCGCTCAACCACGTCCGCCCTTGTAGCAACTCCGAGCTGCAGTCCCTGACAACGAAAACATGCATCAGCACGCGCAACCCTTCGACCTCAATAGCCGCCTTGTGACAGACCCCAGAGATCTTCTCCTTTCTTCCATCGGTTGTCTTTATCTCGAACAGGTAAGACCTGTCGAGGTCCAACCCTAATCGCATAGCGAGTCCTCATCTATGATGACAGCTTCGCTGCCATTATCAATCACCCCATGGAGGACTACCTCGTAATTGAGAATGGTCTCCATTGTCCCACTCCCTAAAATGTAAAACTTGTCAGGAGGCACACCTTCCATCCCATCTAAATACACTATCGCTGCGCATTCTGCCTTTGCGCACACTCCCGATACCGCCACAGAGGGAACCTCTGGTTTGGAAGTCATCTGGACTTCGTCTCCCAAAAGAATGTGCGTCTTGCGCATGATCATCTGTAGCTCATCCCGCGCAGGTCTCGAGGCCGCCAAGTACTCAAGTATCGTGCACTGCATCGGTTGCCTAAGCGCCCGTCTGAGAGGCTTCACTGTATTGATATCGTCCAGGGTGCTCTTCATAGTGAACTTCCGGGTTCCACGCTTGCGCGGCGAAAGTATGACTTCCTCTCCTTCAATCCTATGTCCATCCTTCTCTTCCATTACATAATCGGTGTCAGTCTTCTTAGAAGAAGATCCCCTTGCGGACTTAGTCGCCGCTACCCGTATAGGTGTCAAAGGCGCCCCGTCATCAGAAGGCAAAGTCAATCACACACTCTGGCTCCTTGCCACTTCTTTACCCTTACTTGGTCGTACTCGCCTAGCTTCAACGTTCTCCTTCATCGAAGGCAACATCTACACATCGCCGAGGTCATCGGCCCACTTGACGTACTTGCGATCATCAAGTACGACAAGTCCTTCGTCTATAGCCCGTCTGAGGTCAGGACAGTCCCTCTTCACGTGATCATCTGCCCTGCAATAGATGCAGGAATTTCTAGGAGTAGGGGGTCTCTCTCATATGCCCCTAATAGCCGGCCCTCTCGCAGGTCTGACATCTTGGGCTGTGTAACCGGCTGAACGCGCTGAACGCGCGTTCACGTTCAAACGTGCGCGTTCATACCCCTCGGGCCCTCATTCAATCACGTTCAAACGCGCTGCGCGCCACGTGGCACGAAAAAATTGAACACGACCCCGGGGGGTGCGTGCGCGCGTTACGGACTACGGGGTGGTGGATCTCGTTCAAGGAACCCCGTAAGTGCAAACTCCCCCCCCCC